GTTGACAACCTACGATATATTAATAAATATACACCGAAAATGCGTCGGTATATTATATACATAATTGATTTGTTATCGTTCACAAATTGTGTGCTTTGTGAATGTCTCTCTCGCTGTCAGACAAATAAAAAAATCACCAAAACGGTGAGCCGCATCGCGCCATTGAACACACAACAACAAAAGCCAAACGAACAACAACGAAACAAACAAAAAAAAATCCATGGAATTGAAACAGGCACCATAACCTGGCTAGCATGTTAATTGTCTGAAAATTAAAGGTTTCAAAAAACCTAACTCAAACGTTCAGTTTCATTTGTACGTCTCAATAGTTGTTTTTGTGTAAACATAAAGCGGTGTATAATCTATAAATTGAATTGAAAATCGAATTTTGAGTCTGCAACGCTGGACGGACGAGAAAAAAACCAGCGCTGAATACATACAGAACATTTTATCTAATCTAGAACACTCCTTAATAAATGAGACAAATGCTATTTTTTCTGTTTTTTTTTGTGTACACATAAAAAAGATATCATGGGTATATTGCGATAAAAAAAAAACGTAAAACCACACACAGAAACAACAAAAAATTGCCAAAAAAACCATTGTTTGGTGTTAACTCAGCCCAGATCGAAAACCACATACGGAAAGTTTTCGACGAATAACAATTTCAGCACGAAACAAACCATAAAAAAAATGCAATTTGGCTGATAGAATCCCAGCCATACCAGCGCAGTTAACCTTCGACGTACCATAAATGAAATCATGGATTATACTATCTTTGACATATGACAGCATTTGATAAAGACATTTTTTGTTGTCGTTGTTCGGGCCAGATAGACGGAGAGACGATTTTTTCGCGTAAATTTTGTTTGAACCACATTTTTTTCCCGCTGACATTTTGACAATGCAATCAAGACAAAATCAATATAGTTTTATCTACTGAGCGAATTTTTTCCAGTTTGGTCGACAAAATCGCAGAAATCCATATATTCTTTGGACAATTTTCAATAAAACCAACTTTTCTACTGCTTAGCTCTCTAAATGGTTCCGATGAATACAAACAAAAAGAATGATTCTTCATAACGTTGCTAATGAATTCTTGACGTAATCAACAATGATTGATGGAGAGATTTAGTATCTTGTCACTTGATGAGTTGCATTCATTAAATAGAATTGTGTATAAAATATTTTGGAGACAAAACACACACACACACACACACAGAGAGAGAGAGAGAGAGAGAGAGAGAGAGAGAGAGAGAGAGAGA